TGTGTGTGTGTGTGTGTGTGTGTGTGCGTGCGTGTGTGGGTGTGTGACACATGATTCCCTGACCAATCACATGTCCAGTGAGGGCCGCATCTATAAACCCAGAGTGAATCTATGTATATATGTGTGAGAAAAAGAAGGAGAGAAGAAGAAGAAGTTCTCTGGTCTCTGACTCACTGTTTGTTTGTGTGAAGAAGAGAAGGTGAAAGATGAAGACTCTGCTCCTCCTGGTTCTCTGCTCCCTGGCTGTCGTCTGCCTGGCCACAGGTACGAGCTGCACACAGCACCACACAGATTTTATCTTTCTCTACTCGAGTGAGCTGAAGTGAAACAAGTGACACATCTTCAGTTATTATTCATCAAATATACAATCATTTGGATTATTCATGTTTGAACAGATGCTGCGCAGCCGGTTGCTGACAACCCTGCTCAGGACGGTAAGATCCCATTTCAGTGATTTTCCATATTTATTCTACAATTTATGAAATCACTAATTGTGTGAGATCATCTTTAGTTTAAATGCTGCAGCTCGTAGCCTTCGATCCTCAGGTGGGACTTGTCGTTCACCTTCAGACTTGAGTTGAGGCTCTGAAGGTGACTTTCACCATCGGGGCCCCTCGGCTTTGGACCGACCAGAAGAGATGAGGCTCAGATTCTCTTTAATCCCATTTTTGTGAAGATGTCTTTTTATATTTCTAACATTTTACTGCTTTTTATTCGTATTTATTGGCTTTTCTGTAATTTCGTCCTCTCTTTATTTATTCATGTTTTTTATCAGTGTAATTGGCAAAAATCCTCTGCAATCTGCCTGTAAACCCTGATTTTAAAGTTCAGCAAATACAATTTTAAGTTTTTAAAGTTCCACAGTTAAGCTGAAAAAAACATTGAAATTACTTTTCAGTTGCATCTCATATCAAATAAAAATTATACCTTGATAGTTTGTTTGATATTTTGTTTTATATACATTTCTAATTCGTTTTTTCCATTTGTTAAATCTCTCATAATTTAAATTAATACATTTATCTGCAGCTTGTTACTCCACAGAACTGTTCCTGATTCCTGCCGAGTCTGTATTTACATCCTCCAGATGCGTTTGAGTTTTCTGAACAGACACAGACTGATGGAGTGATCCCTCTGTGTTTGTATTTCTCTCTCTCTCTCTTTCTGTCTTATTCCTGTATTTCTGCCTGAGGTGCAGGTTTGTTTGTGGAGCGGGAGCAGGCGTCCTCAGTGGTGAGACAGAAGAGAGCTCCTGGAGAGTACACACTCTCCCAGCTGGAGAGGTATTAAACTCCGACATGTTGTTTTTTTAATCAGACACGTCACGTCCTAATCGTTCCTCTCTCGTCGCAGCCTGAGAGAAGTGTGCGAGGCCAACCTGGCCTGTGAGGACATGATGGACACCAGTGGAATCATCGCCGCCTACACCGCCTACTATGGACCAATCCCCTACTAGACACCGGAACCGTCGCTCATCACAACCTTCTTTACTTTGCGTTCTCACCTTTGAGCTTAAATTTGTATTTGCACTTTCCAAAGTAAAACATTTTCCAAAGCGAAGTTGAAGTTGTACCACACGTTTGAAAGATAGAGTCGGCATGTGAGGATTTTTTTCCATCGTCCTCCGTCATCTCAGACTGTAGAGCAGTGTGATGTGATTGAATAAAGATAAATAAAAGCTGTGTGAGATCTTTCATCAGGCCTCAACCTGAGATGCTGAATGAGTGACCTCAACGAGGTTTGTCCTCGGAGATTCACTTGTTCACGACGTCCTGAAAGCATTTTTCTTGCAACTTCAATATGAAGCTTAACTTTCACTGTCACATTTCTCTGAGCTGCAAACTAAAGTGTTAAATTATTACAATTCACATAGAAAATATACTTTAAGATTCATATTTTATTGCTGTTGAAATATAATTATTTATGCAGACGATCGGATAATTAGAGAAAATGAATAATAATCTAAATAATCCATATAACAAAAGACAAACAGACCTACAAACTAAACATATACAGCTCATCTCCAAACACTCATGTATGCATATATTTCTCATTTCATTTACTTTGACTGTATAATCTGTACTAATGTAATCCAAGGGTTCTCAAAGTGAGGTCCGGGGACCAACGAGGGTCCTTGGGGGGTTAAAAAAAGGGACTCACTATACTTTTATCCATAAGTAGCACACTGGCAAAAACTGATGATTGGATTTCGTACACTTCCTGTCACATAAAGTCTCAAAGCTAAACTCCCGTCAGACGGGTCAGGTGAGGGTTTGTGTTTGAGAATCCACTGATTTAACTCATCAGTGCAAACTTTATTCATTTGTTCCCTCAGCAAACCGCATTTAATCGTGTAGTTTGTCACGAGGAGAGCAACTTTGTCAGGTTGAGGGAAAGCCCCTGCAGTCTGTGTAAAACACTCACACAAAAGTATTGTGTGATGAAAGTCGTCCCCTCGTGCACGGTGCAGCTCCAGACCAGAGGAACCTTCTGCAGAGGGCACGTCTGCTTTGTCGATTGTGGCTCTGTTCCATTGTGGTTTTGATTTACGAGCATCTAGTCCGACTCGCCTCCACAACAAACTCTGTCAAAGATGTCTTTGTCGTCCGTTATTACAACTTCAGTCAGATCAACACAAGCTGAGCCAGGTGAGCCAGTGGGCGTGCCACATACCGAGGCTCGAGCCCTCCTGCAGTGGCCCCACTGTCCCTCCGGGTGTCAGGCAGACATTGTCCTGTGATGACGACCCTGTGCAGAGAGGCGGCCACACGAAGCCCGATGACTCCTGGGATAGTTTGGCCTTAGAAGGATGTCCCTGCCGGAGCCTGTGTTGCTCGGGGACGCAATCGGTTTTCAAAACCAGCCTGAAATAAAAGGAGATGACCCCTGAACTGGAGCACAGCTGCTGTCACGAACAAGAAATTAGATTTCTATCATTTTATCTTCAACGTCTTTAAAGTTAAATTCGATCACTCTGACCTCCAGTCCAGTCCTGTGGGAAATATGTTGTTTGGAAAGTTCTCACAGAAAAATCCCCTTTTAGTTTTATAAATATTACATCATTACATACTATTACATAATCCATTTCCTTATCAGGGAGAATGGAACAGACCAAACCTGTTTAGTTCCTGTTCACTACAGGACAATCGGAGCCAATGTTAAACAGAAGGTAAATATATCGAGTTGGCAGCGTGACGCAGTTTGAGGAAAGTTTTTGTCTCTCATGCAAACTGTGGACTGAGCTTATGATTCACATGGAACCTCCTGCAGTCAACACGACCTCAGTTCTGTGTTGAGTTAGATTCTATGTTTTAACACCTTGATGCCTGAGTCAAATATTAACTTCACTGTTTAAAAGCACGGGAGCAAAACATTTTGTGAGTTAAGTTTCCAAAGGTGTGTTTTATATTGTTTTACACATTTTATTTAATATTCAACATACCACGCAATGATAAATACATTTCATCATCATCACTTTCATCATCAGCATATCATTTATTGAAGTATTCGTAATGAAAGTAATCCATTACAATAGTAAGTGTAGCTTTGGAAAAATATAAAAGCAGAACTCTAAAGCTGACATTGATCAAAGAGTAGCTCATTTTAATTTAATTTAAATTTATTTTTAATGACTGTATCTGGGTTTTAACTTATAATTAACCATCAAACAAACCTGGAATCAAAATTACGCAATAATCAAGCATAGAATTATATAAGATGTAGATATCAAAGTTTTTTTTTACATTCTAAAAATATAAATAAACATCTAAATTTAGCTGCTGCCTCCACGCTTCCCTTTTATTTCTTGTTTAACATGTTTGTCTTCAATCTAACCCGGGACTTTCCTGCTGCGTCACCAGCAACATGTATAAATCCTCCTCCTGCTGCTCTGTGCACTTCATTCACGCAATTCACAATGGAACAGATAACATTCATGACGGAGAACCACGAGCGTATCCAAGCCTTGGAGAATTCATTCGGTCCCTCGGGGAGACCCCTGTGCAAACCAGGTCGGGTTCTGGTGGCAGAGGGCCACCTGTTGAAGCAGGGCCGACAGAGGCCTGAGATGAAAGCCTTCTTTCTCTTCAATGACATCCTGGTGTACGGCAGCGTGATCCTGAGCGGCCGCTGGCACAAAAACCAGAAAATCGTTCCCCTCGGTGAGTTTAAAGACGAGGCTGCTCAGTTTTAAAGCCTTGATGCGGTTGTGTTTTATTAACTCAAGGGTTAGGGGTTGCCAAAGTCTACGAATTCCTTTTTGCATTGTTAACAGTGTGTTGTCTTCATTGTGATTTCAGAGGACCTCCTGCAGGAGGACATGGAGGACGGTGTGGGTTTAAGAAACCAATGGTTGATCCGCACACCACGTAAGTCCTTTTTCGTGTCGGCCACTTCATACAAGGAGAAGCGGATCTGGTTCGACCTCACTGAAGAGTGTCGTGCCAACCTGCTGCGGGGCGGCAGGTGCCAGCCTGGCTCCAGCTTCGCCGTCTCTTGGATCCCAAACCAGGCCGCCTACAAATGCATGCGCTGCTTCACCAATTTCACTGCAACCAACCGCAGACACCACTGCAGACAGTGTGGCTTCCTGGTCTGCAACTCGTGCTCCAGGACGCGAGCGGTGATCGGCCACATCCACCCCACGAAGAAGCTGAGGGTCTGCAGGCTTTGCCACAAGAGGAACACAGAAGAAGAGACATCTGGTGGGAGTGAAAACAGCCCAGGAAAGAACGCCCCAGAGGAAGACTCTGTGGCATCATCCAGTGGTGAGGAAGATGAGATGATGCAGAGCTACTTCCACAGCCGCTTGTTCCCACAAGGGAAGGTGGGGACAGATCGATGCTGCTCCCCCAAACAAAACATAATCACACCGGGACTACTTCACTAATACATGTGTGCACCATCATTGAGCATCACATTCAAAACAAGGGACTTTTGAATGGACTATAGATTTATTTAATACAAACACATGAAACCCTTCCCTCCAGACACGTTTTAAAAACATGTCTCCTCTTTAAACACAGACAACTGGTTTGCATTGACATACAGCTACTGAAGATTTCTTTTGTTGCATGGTTTCCATCGTGGACAACCCCGACCCCCCTCTCCACCACATCCTCCCGGCTCAGAGGAGCACATTCTCACATAGACAGCTCCGCTGTCACAAGGACAGATTCAGGAAGTCATTCCTGCCATCCGCCATCAGGTTTTATAAAAACTCCCTGTAACAGCTGTAACAACTGACTGTTTAACTCAACTACACAAGTCTCCAATTCCCATCTGCATTGTAAATTTAATTTATTTGCTGCTATTTATAATGACTGGTATCCAGTATCAGCAGATGTTATTCTTAAAGATTGTATATAGTGGTTAGTCTCTTTTGCACATCACTGTTTCACTTACTACTTGCACTGTTTTATCACTTTATCACTTATGTATTTATGTTCTTATGATTCTTGATTACTGAAAGATTCAACCAGTCTCCTCTGTTTCAACTTTGCCTCAATTGAGCTCTGTCTGAACAACTCAGTCACTTTCCTACATGTATGCTCTTCTGTGTAAAAGAATTGTACTTATTTCACATGTCTGTACTGCTGGAACACAAGAATTTCCCCTCGGGGATGAATAAAGTATATCTATCTACGATCTATTAAGTAAAGTGACTTCCTCGACATGCATTGATCTGTGAAGGTTAATCAATCATGTGGCAAACCACCATATAAGTCAATGCAACGGATCGAGGTCTTCCTCAGTGTGTTCCTGAAGTAAAATACATTAAAGCAAAGGTTTTCACACGCACACTCTGTCACACTCCATTTCAATCACGGGCGAGGCATTTGTATAAACAGTCAGAGTAATTGTTGCACATGTTACAGTAAACAGTCATACCTGGGTGACTTCTCGTCATGAGGAACAAGGAAATGTGAGCTATTTTCTTTCGAAAGACATTGAACTGCAGTGACCATCTCTAATCTCTCCAAAAGTGTAAAAGCTTCTTGCTTCTTTTTCTCCAGCTTCACATCATTTATTATAACACACCAAATGTAAAAACAGCAACTTTAGGTCATAGCTCATCTTGTATTATTTCAAGCATTCTAATTTAGACTTAACCTATAAAATCAGAATCAGAATCAGAATCCTTTATTGTCATTGTTTAACATTGTTACCAACATTCAACATTGAAAATTCTTTTTGCAGCTCTTCTTGTTTCAGCAGCGATCGAAAGATTTTAGAAATCAGACATAATCAAGAAGTAAATAAGTAAAATATAAAAACCCAGCTAAAAGATAAACATATCAAAGTGTGACAGTGCAGTAACAGTATAATAATAATAGTACAGTGTACAGTAGGACAGTCAGTCTGACTGTCCACCTGAGTAGTAGTGCAAAAGTATTGATTTTGTGCAAGAATTACAGTTCCAGAATGATAAATGAAAGATTCGAGATAAAGATAAAATCCACACTGGGCTAACGCTGTAGGCCAATGAGGGGGAGTCAGGTTCTCAGACATGAAACCAACCCGATGGAGCAGATACACGCAGAGATAACTTCACATTGCAAATCTCACACAACATTAAAGTTGACTATAAAAATGGCGACATCTGCTGATCATAAAATGAAGTTGCACGTAATATTATGCAGAAGGATTTAATGACGGACACGATGAGCCTGAATAAAAGTAAATATTCTGTTATGCAACGGATTGATCATGAAGTGAGGCCTCGTCTGCGGTGGTAGAGGGATGAAACTATAATCCAGTCATTGTAGATATTTGCAGTATTTTGTTATATTCTACAGTAAGAGATGATGCGTTCAGGGTGTGAACATGACGGATGTGGACAGACAGTCTCAGAGTGTCTTTCAAAGTGAGTCAATTGTGCAAAGTTTGTTTTTGATTAAGATTATTTAAACGAACTGCTCTGGATCTTGTAAACATGGTGTGTCCGGTGTGTTTGTCTCCCTCTCGTCACCTTCTCTTGCACAGACACCGGAACAGACAACCCGAAGTCCTCACAGAAATAACAGTACATTATACTTCACGCTGCAAACTCTCCTGAAAACTTTTGTTTTTGACTTCTGTCAGTTTCCATCCTCTCTTCTCATCTGATGCGGAGTTGCCTGTAGTTACTCACTGTCGACACTAGGAGGGGGCGCAATTTGTAGCCTAACATTTTTAAATAAAATAAATAACTTGTAAATACGCATGAAATCGACACACATTCAAAATATCAATAACTTCTGTAAATTAGAAAAATTAAAAGACGAATTCTATTGGATTTTGTTTTGACGACCGCGAACACGTCACTTCCGCTCTGGCTCGCGGCAGTAAACATGGCGATCGGCTCGCGCAGCGTCTGCGACCATTCAGTCCTGAAAGATTAGAGTTTCTCTCTCTGGGCTCGAACAACCACCTTTGTTTCGCCCCCGGTACTCGGAGGGGTTTGTTCGGGGCCGCGGCCTCTTCTGGGTTTTTTCTGAATAAAAGGTAAAAGTCTGGTTTCGCCTCTGTGCCGCTGTCGATGCTAACGCGGGCCTAGCTACAAGTGCATGCTAACGCTCCGCAGCTAACTCGCTGCACGAGCTGCACGTCTGCTGATCTGTGTCGGACTCACTGACTCCGCCGGGTTTTAAATGTTTGTTAGTCACTTTAAAAGACCCGCAGCTCGATCTGACTAATCTGACATTCGCTAGTGTTTGAATACCAACTTTATGCTAGCTAGTTAGCCGGTGGTAGCTAGCATTGACATTACAAAGTTGTGCAGTCATCTTAATTATGCTGAATTAGTTTTATATACCCTACAAGCATAAGCAATAATATTATCTGTAGTAGAGTTAACTTATTGGAACCAGGCATCATTTTCAAACGTGCTCTGCAACAAATCTACCTCCTTTGCTTTCACCATCATCTCTGTAACCTTGAATTGTTTGTGATATGCAAATATGGAGTCAACATGTGTTCTGTGGATTTGTCATAATCTGCAGGGTGAAGGAGAAGCAGCGGAAACATGGGGCGACGTTCCACCTCCTCCACCAAGAGTGGGAAGTTTATGAACCCCACCGACCAGGCCAGTAAGTACTGACCAGAACCTAGAGCTGGTTCTGCTGGTGCCCACCTGCTGGACAACACGTGAAGAACTAGACCTAGACGCTGACGTTCGCTCATGAAACAGTTTGCAAATTTACTAGATCACGATTTTTAATTGGGGCTGCACCAAATGGCACACACCACTAGTTTTTACTTAATCCTGCTAATTAACAGACAAATTAGCAACACAGACAAAAACATGTCCCTCCTTGGCGAAGGTGGTGTTAATCACTGTTCATCTATTGTTGTAAGACGTCAGAACATTAACTATTGTTCACTTGTCCTCTGCCTCCCTCACAGGAAAGGAGGCCAGGAAAAGGGAGTTGAAAAAGGTACTTGTTGTCTTGAGACATACGTCTTTTAAAGTTGTTTTCTTAAATAAAACAGTCACGTTACTGTGTTGTTAACTTGCTTTATTTGTTAATGCTCCTGTTAGAACAAGAAGCAGAGAATGATGGTGAGAGCTGCGGTGCTGAAGATGAAGGACCCCAGACAGATCATCAAAGATATGGAGAAGCTGGATGAGATGGGTGAGAGGGCTGAATCAGTATGTTGTTGTTCTCCTGCCAAAATGTGCATTAGTAAAAAAATGCTTTAATAAGTTTAAAGTACAAGTCAAAAGTATTATTCTATCATCTATCTAAAATTAGTACCTAAAATTGACAGCTAATATCTGACACATGATAAAGATTTCCTGTAACACCTCCAACAGAATTCAACCCAGTTCAGCAGCCCCTGCTGAATGAGAAGGTGTTGAGGGACAAGAGGAAGAAGCTCCGTGAGACGTTCGAACGCATTGTCAGTCTGTACGAGAGAGAGAATCCCGACACTCACAAAGAACTGCGCAAACTGGAATTGGACTATGAGACCAAACGTGGGCAGCTGGCTCTCTACTTTGATTCAGTCAAGGTGTGTTTGTGTGTAATTATTTGGATGCACACTTCTTTTTTCAGTAATTTTGCCGGTCAAGGATTTGTATTGATTTATGTCGACATGTGAGAGGATGTACTCACTTCCATAATAGCTGCTTGGGCTACGATATAAAAAATATCTTTGCAGACATAAAGCCCCTTACAGCATGTGTCCAACAGTATGTCTGTCTTTTGTATACGTATATTGAGTTTTATAATATTGTAGATCCTTCAAGCTGCTTTGGTGTTGTGGTGACTTTATTTTCTATCATCTGTTTTTCAGAATGCAGAGTCAGTGGAGGTCGACAGTATCCCTTTACCAGATATGCCTCATGCCCCCTCCAATATCCACATCCAGGACATCCCACTACCAGGGGCTCAGCCTCCTTCCATACTGAAGAAGGGCTCCACTTTTGGGTAGGCCATGGGCTGTATATGTAAACGCTCTCTGCAGGTAAACATCTGTGTATTAACTCTGCCACTGAGGTAATTCTTCTCCTGCCTCTCTCAGTAAGGGTCCTCTCTTGTCATCAACGGGACCAGTTCTGGCAACAGTGCCTGGTGTCCCACGTTTACCTCCAGGAAAGAAGCCCCCTGGCCCCCCACCTGGGCCTCCACCTCCGCAGGTCCTGGCACTGTACGGCATCCCATCTCGACGACCTTACGGCACAGATACAGGTGACGCACAAACTAGAAATAACAAAGAAATTGCTTCCATAATTTTGTTTCTGCTCATATTTCTGCTCATTGCTCTTTACTAATTTTTGCTCTTTCCCTCCCCCCACACAGAACCTTCCATTCCTGGTTTAGAAAAGGACTTGATGGACTTGGGAAGAGATCGGGATAGTGGCAGTGACAGCGACAGAGATCGTGAGGATGGGGACGATGACGACAGTGACTCTGAGGAGGACAGTGAAGACGAGAGAATCGAAGGCGGGGATGGGGACCAGAGGATGAGTGTGGACAGGCAAGATGAAGAGAGAGAAAGGGAGGAGGATCGAGACAGAAATGAAAGGCATGCCGGTGAGTGTCTCAGAAGTTGTTCAGCATATTGTTGTGCCTTCATTTTGTACTTGTGGTTTTCTTTTCTATATTTTGTCTTTCAGAAATATTATGTTTTTATGTGCAATTAAGTAAAATTTTGCTCTGCACTGTGTTGGTACAATTCAAAAACTGCTTTCATATCCTGAATGTCGTATTGATTAGGATTTATCTTCTTAAACTAATATTTTTTTCGATGAATATTTTAACACTTTAGGACGCAGTGTACGTTTTGCAGAAATGCCCCCAGAGTTGGCCCGTGACGGAAAGAAGAAGAAAAAGCGGTTGGTGAAGAAGACCAAAGCCATTACCCCTCTGCAGGCCATGATGTTAAGAATGGCAGGTACAATAGTTTAATGATGACACTTCTGGGTACTTACTAAGATAGTACATTCTACTTTCTCTTTCTGATAGTGCGGTGTAATTTATTCTTCTTCAGGTCAGTCAGTACCTGAAGATGAGGAAGAAGAGGAGGTAGAGGAGGAATACACAGATGAATCAGACAACTCAGACATTGAGGACAGGGGACCGCCAGGGGACAACCAGTCCCACCTCATGGCCAATCAGCGTATGCCCCCTCCTACTGGCCCAGTGGGACAGCAAGGGCCCCCACACTTGCAAGGCCCACCAATGACTGGGCCTCCACCACTGGGTCCCCCACCAGCTCCTCCAATGAGGCCTCCTGGTCCACCCTCCGGACCACCTCCTGGCCCACCACCAGGTTAGACACAATAATAATATTGTATTTTAAGTCTGCACTGGTAATAAAATACTGAACCGTGCTCGTTGTGCTCATTACCCATATGCATTATTTATTGCTTTCTGTTATCTGTAGGTGCGCCTCCCTTCTTGAGGCCTCCTGGTATGCCCGGAGGCATGAGGGGTCCGATGCCTCGTCTTCTGCCTCCTGGACCTCCACCGGGTCGACCTCCTGGCCCTCCACCAGGCCCCCCTCCTGGCCTGCCACCAGGCCCCCCACCACGTGGACCCCCTCCCAGACTACCACCCCCAGCACCACCAGGTACTGTGTGAGATATACATTTGTAAATGCATGGATACATGCTGTGGAAACATTATATAGTCATGTCATGCAACACTGCTGGAAAATGCATATATTTATTTGAAATCCTTTTGCTGCTGAGCTGCAATGAACCTCAAACAAAAGCAGTAAAACCTTTTACTTCTATATCAATAAATACATGGAAGAGCACTATATGTTTTACCTTATGGAAAATGATCCAACTTTATGATTAATGAAAAGGAAAGTTTTACATCAAAATAAAATCGGTCTTGTTTCTCCTCACAGGTATCCCACCTCCTCCCCCAAGAGCAGGAGGGCCCCCACGTCCACTCGCCCCACCACTCTCCCTCTTCCCTCCTCCTCTCAACTCCAATGTGCTCAGTGCTCCTCCCAACATTGTTCCACGGCAAAAAGGCTCAGGACCCGGCCCAGACGGTGCACAGAGCAACTTACCACCCCCTGCCATGCCCATGCGGCCGGGTGTCATGCAGATGCCCCCTCCCCCGGGGACTGCTGCCGCCTCCGCAGGCAGCAACCCTGGCAGCAACCCCTCAGGCCACCATCACACAGCTACCATCGAAAAACGAGCCAACATCACCTCTGTTGCAGCCGCAGGAGGCAGCATGGCAGCGGGTGCCGGCTCAGGTGGGGCCACCATCTCTGCCAAACCCCAGATTATCAATCCGAAAACGGAGGTCACCCGCTTTGTGCCCACGGCGCTGAGGGTGCGTAGAGACAAGGTTGGACCGATGCCCGGGGCTGCACTTGGGCCTCTGGAGAGAGGAGCGGGTGGTGCTGGAGGACGGAGGGGAGATGAAGGCATGGGAGGTGGCATGGGGCAGAAACAGCAGGCAACAGCTGCTTCTATGGGCTACGTCAGTCCAGCCCAGATGGGTGCTGTGTCTCACCCCAACATGAAGACGAAGGACCAGGTGTATGAAGCCTTCATGAGGGAGATGGAGGGACTCCTCTGAGACTTGAGAGGGTGTCTGGGGGGGGGGGGGGGTATAACTGTGGGGGTGTTTGAACAACAGGAGTGTGTTAGTTTTATGTCTTTTCTGTGCGGAGTAATAGAGGTAGCTGTCCTCAAGGAATTCAAATAGACCAGTTACACTGCTCTCAGCAGGCTCGTCCTCATTTGTTCTGGACTATTATTTGTCGTATCTAGAGAGAATGTGAACTTGATTTGCATAATTGGAAACATTTCGATTTGTTGCTCTTCCATCAGAAAACCTATAAAAACACACACGTTTGCCCCACACTGAATAAATACCAGGCTACCAAGTGCTATGTTGTTTTTTTTCCTCTGACAAGAAAAAGGCATTTTTGTATGATTGTTTTACTGTCAACCTTTTTTCTTTTTTTTTTTTTTTATCAGTGATCTCTTTGACATGTTGAACATTAAAACAGAGGCATGGAATGTTTGAAACTGTTTGACCTGCAGCTAAATAAATAAATCAGAAACTGTTTTTACTTCATGTTTCATTTTCGACGTGAATATTCATATTTCACCAGTCAGCAAACGCTCGTGATGTTTATGCTCTGAAGACTGTTTTACCTTCTCCTCACTTTAGTGATTTTTTTAAAATCACTAAAGTTTGAACTTCCGTCTGAAACAAAAAAAAACACCAACTCCCATCAGGCATTGCGCGTCGCGTCCCCCGTTTCCGCATCTGCGCGCTGCGGGGCTGACGACACGTGGGTCTGCGAGCATCATGGCGGACAACAGCCCGCAGGAGACGGTGGAGACGAACGCAGAGGAAACACTCGACGGGTCGAGCAGCGGTGAAGAAGACGACGCTCCCGTTACTGGCGCCGGAAGCGAAGCAGCGGCGAAGAGCTTCAAGGAGCTGGTGAGTTCAACACGGAGGCGCTGTTAGCTGTTAGCCACAGTGTGCTAACACCCCCATGTAAACAATGTGTCGTGAAACATACTTCCCGTGTGGAAGCGCGAGGAGCCTCCTCCTCAGGTGTTTACCCGGGTTCTCTGCCTCTGACAGGGGGTCACCGAGGTGCTGTGTGAGGCCTGCGACCAGCTGGGATGGAAGAGTCCAACAAAGATCCAGATAGAAGCGATACCAGTGGCTCTGCAGGGTGAGACATCTGTCTGTCTGTCCCACTTACTGTCTGTCTCACTGGCAGTCTCACTCACTGTCTGTCTGTCTATCTCACTCACTGTCTGTCTGTCTCACTGTCAGTCTGTTTGTCTCACTGTCTGTCTGTCTGTCCCACTGTCTGTCTGTCTGTCTCACTGGCAGTCTTTCTCACTGTCTGTCTGTCTCACTGTCGGTCTGTCTGTCTCACTCTCTGTCTATCTCACTGTCTGTCTGTCTCACTCACTGTTTGTCTCACTGTCTGTCTGGCTGTCTGTCTGTCTCACTGTCTGTCTATCTCACTGTCTGTCTGTCTGTCTCACTCACTGTCTGGCTTTCTCACTGTCTGTCTCACTGTCTGTCTGTCTCCCTGTCTGTTTGCCCGCCTGCCTCACTGTCTGACTGTCTGTCTCACCGTCTGTCTGTCTCACTCACTGACTATCTCACTCACTCACTGTCTGTCTGTTTGTCCCACTGTCCTTCTTTCTCACTGTCTGTCTGTCTATCTCACTCACTGTCTGTCTGTCTCACTGCCTGCCTGTCTGTTTGCCCGCCTGCCTCACTGTCCTTCTGTCTGTCTCACTCACTGTCTGTCTGTTTGTCCCACTGTCTCTGTCTGTCTCACTGTCTGTCTGTCTCACTCACTGTCTGTCTGTCTGTCTGTCCTTCTGTCTGTCTCACTTACTGTCTGTCTCACTCACTGTCTGTCTGTCTGTCTCTCTCACTGTCTGTCTGTCTGCTGATGTGGGACACAGGGCTGTGGTGTCAAATCAAATTCAGATAATAAACATCAGTCTAAGTAGTGAACTCACTGTGTGTAGAGACTCCATAGAAAATAAAAGTCCGGCAATATGTTTCTGTAGTAATAAGTATTTTGGGGGTTTTTTGTACCTGAGTGTAATTTAATATCTGTGTATTTGTATGCTGGTGTGTATATTTATTGAAAATGTTTTGACAATATGTCAGGATGGACTCACATAAACTAAAACATTAAATCAAGTTCTTGCTACTTTACGACACAAGAATTCAAGTTTTAAATTGTTTATGTTGAATAAGACCTTTCCTGGAGTTCGGTGCTCGTCACATAGCATAAAGTTTCTTTCTGCAACTGCTTTGAAGACATAACTTTCTTTGTCCTTTTCTCAAACCGCAGGGAAGGATGTGATCGGCTTGGCGGAGACCGGCTCAGGAAAGACGGGCGCCTTCGCTCTGCCCATCCTCCAGTCGCTGCTGACGTCACCTCAGAGGCTCCACACCCTCGTCCTCACGCCCACCAGGGAGCTGGCGTTTCAGATCTCGGAGCAGTTTGAAGCTCTGGGCTCCAGCATTGGTGTTAAGTGCGGTACGTGTGTGTTGATTGGAGGTTAGCTGGTGATGCAGAGGACTTTGTGTGCGTCTGCTCTAATGCCTCGTTTGTGTTGCAGCTGTTATAGTTGGTGGGATTGATATGATGTCCCAGTCCATGGTGCTGGCCAAGAAACCACACATCGTCATCGGTAAGTCCGCACGACGATGCATATTATTTATAACAGCAGTGATAAATACAAGTGTAACAATTATATCATTTCTATCCTTAACTTTTTCTGTTCACCCGTTCCATCAGCTGATGACTGTAGCATCCATGTAACGATAAGTGATGACGTGTGTTCACAGCGACGCCCGGTCGGTTGATCGACCACATGGAGAACACTAAAGGCTTCTCCCTACGAGCTCTGAGGTTCCTGGTCATGGACGAAGCGGACAGAATCCTCAACATGGACTTTGAGACTGAGGTGCGACATCAGACGTTTATTTGAGTGCGAACCAACAAAAATCAAACTTACATTTGGAGCTGTAGTCAACTGAAGAAGATCAATAATGAAAATAATCACTTTAAAACGTTTTTTTTTCAGGTGGATAAAATCTTGAAGGTGATTCCCAGAGACAGACGCACCTTCTTGTTCTCTGCCACCATGACGAAAAAGGTAGATCAACACTTGATTAACGCAGAGAACAGCTTTCTTCTGTGCTATGGTTGCTACTAGTGCTGCAGTTTAACTAAGAAATCAATTAATCTTGTTTTCCAGCATTGCACCACTTGTGCAGCTGCGTGATTTCCTCCGGCGCTGACTTTGTTTTATCTGTGTTTCAGGTCCAGAAACTACAGAGAGCAGCTCTGAAGGATCCTGTGAAGTGCGCGGTATCCACCAAATACTCGACAGTTGAAAAACTGCAGCAATACTACATCTTCATACCGTCCAAGTACAAGGTGGTGCCCGTTTCCTGTTGTGATCGTGTGTCCACCCCCTGTCTGCCACAGTACTCTCACTAACCTTGAGAGACGTGTGTGTTTGTTTTGTGGCAGGACTGTTACCTGGTGTCCATCTTGAACGAGCTGGCCGGTAACTCGTTCATGATTTTCTGCAGCACCTGTAACAATGCCCAGCGGGTGGCGCTGTTGCTAAGGAACCTTGGAATAACTGCCATCCCTCTTCATGGCCAGATGAGTCAGGTAGAGCTACACACACACACACACTATGAACCGTAAACATTTGTGAACTGTCGTGGTTTAACTCTATTAACACTATAAGATGGAAAAACAGCATATTGTTTTTTTTACAATTCATTACGATATAATTTTATACTGTAGTGACAGCAGTGATTAAATGTCCTCTCCCGCTGGATCTTCCAGAATAAACGCCTGGGAGCGCTAAACAAGTTCAAGTCGAAGTCTCGATCGGTGCTGCTGGCGACCGATGTGGCGTCCAGGGGGCTGGACATCCCTCATGTGGACTGCGTCATCAACTATGACATCCCCACTCACTCCAAGGTACCGCTGAGCTGACATTCTCGTTGCTGGTTTATTTGTTGTTTTTACTTTTTTAATTGGTTTGATTTGAACGGATCTGTCTTTCCTCCGTAGGACTACATCCATAGAGTCGGTCGGACAGCAAGAGCCGGCCGCTCTGGGAAATCCATCACCTTTGTCACCCAGTAAGAGCAGGCTCCATTTTAAATTGTCTTCTCCCCCCCTTTTTAAAAAAATGCTTTGCTGCACATGGCCGATGTAAGAAGATTAAAACGAGGTTGACTGCAGTAAACTGACACCTCTCCTAACCTTAGGTATGATGTGGAGCTTTTCCAGCGAATCGAAACCCTGATAGGGAAAAAACTTCCTGCTTTCCCAACCCAGGAAGAGGAAGTGATGATGTTGGTGGAGAGGGTGAGCGAAGCCCAGAGATTTGCCAGGCTGGTAAGTTATCATCGTAACCCTGATGTTCAAGTGCTTATGTTTCCATCTTTATATTCAATCTATTAATCTGAGACCACTGTTTTAAAGAATGATTGTTGTTGTATATTGAAACTTTGAGCTGAGAGCATTTTTTTCCCTCCTCAGGAAATGAAGGAGCAAGGTGAGAAAAGGAAAAGGCCCAAACGAGGAGATGGAGATGAAGATGATACAGAACAAGCAAGCGGAGTGAGGAAGAAAGTGAAGGGTGGAGGAGGAGCGAGAGGAGGAATGGGTGGAATGGGAGGAAGAGGTGGAGGAGGAAGAGGAGGAGGGAAGAACAGGGGTACAGGAGCTTGGAGGGGAGGGCGCTGAAGCCTCTCACATTAACAGACTGTACATAACCACAGCATGAATATCTTCCCTGTTATTGATGTAAAACTAGATAATGACAACAGTGTTTTCCAGCATTTACTATGAAAGAAAACTATTTAATTCTAGAAAAAGAACATGTCTTTCCTTTCCTCCCTCCCCCCTTTTTTTTTCCATTTGTAATAAAATGCCTCTGTAAAACTAAAAGCTTGTGGTTGGCTCATGTGTGATTGCAGGAGTTTTGTGTCGAGCATTAAATGCTGCTGTTGTCGCTTTCAGACACAAGAGGTCAGTGTTTAAGTTCACAGCAGGGTAATGGAAACCATGATGTGTTCCACTTGCAGGAGAAGAGGCCACAGATGACTGTTCCTACAAAAACAAACAGAAAAGACGTTTCCATTCATCTTTTTCGCTTTTTCTTCTCAATAACGTTGTGAGCTTCCGGCTCCAGTTTCACTTTTTGCTGAGAGGAAATCTTTGTAGCTCTTACATCAAATGTCTTCAATCAAAAGTGGCCATACCCATCATTAATGTCCTTTCTGTCCTAACAGGTGTGTGTGTGCAAAAACACAGTAGCCTGTCTCCCTTAAGACATTTCAGACATGAATGTCCACACAATCGGGTCCTGACCTTTCTTCGGACTTTACTTTTTTCACACATGAACAACGCAGCTTGAGATTCTTCGCTCAGACGCGTTCACAACAAGGTGAGGTGTGGTTACATCTGAGTCTTGTCTTTCCAACTTGATATCTTCGTTAGTGTCTTCTTCATGTATCGCACCGCTTCTTCATTCCCAGATATTTGTGTTCTTTTTGTTGGGGTGTTGGCAGGAGAACCTCCAGGGATTATCAAAGGTTATATAATAAAACCAGATTACAGTTTGTCTCTAAACACCATTTCCCAGTCTGGTGATATTCAATATTACTCCTCTCTCACAATCTGCACAGTCACCAGTTGGTTTGTGTACTTGGAGGGGGGGGGGGCAATAGGGAGATTCCATTGCAGTAGCTGGGTTTCAACCAGTAGAGGACAGTCACTGTACATCACGAGACAAACGTGTCCAATTCAAACACTTTGCACTAGAATGTCAAGATTTGGACTTGAATCAATCGACAACTCTACTAATTCACTAATACGTGTTACTGACTGGACTTCTTCTCTGGGTTATGGATGGATTATTATCACAGCTATAGATTGTTTAGATACACAAGATGTCTAATCACATACAGTTCACTTCTATTTCCGGTAATACTGGTTGATTGAGGTTTGTGTTTTTTGTGTTATTCTTTAGGACGCTACACTTTGTTAAGCCCCACCAGTCAGATTGTGGTTTGTGAATATGGGCTATACAAATAAATGTTATCATCACTACTACAAACCCTTCACTTACAGAAGTTTGAGCTAATGGAGATATTGTGAAAACAAATATTTTAAGTACATTGTGACCGAGGCAGAGTATTAAATAATGTAAATAATGTAAATAAATACAGGTTTAATGATGAATAACTGAAGCTGTACACAGTTGTGCATTAGACTAACGTAGTCTGTGAAATGAGCAGAGTAAAACTTAAAACACAGGACTGGAGATATAAAAACTGTTGAGCGGTGATAGTGCAACTTATTTTGCTAGTTATTTGTTATGCATGCGAGCAACAGATGCAATGCCCCTTGTTTTTTTTCATGCATTGGTTTGCAGACAACTGGGGGGTTGGTTTCTTCCAGCCAATGATGGAGAGGGACTGCAAAGAGAGAGACCAATCCTGCATCCAGGAGCAGGAGGAGCAGGAGGAGGGGGAGGAGGAGGAGGAGGAGGAGTGGGGGTGAAACGCATAGATATTTGAAGGATAGATTCGTCCTGACAGAAATATTGTGTTCACTCAGGACCAGAGGAGAGGAACCTCTCTGGGAGGATCACCCCAGTGTGTGGTTATTGACTTTCTGTGTGAGCACGGTGCTCTGCAGGCAGGAGGAGGAGGAGGAGGAGGAGGAGGAGGAGGCGGCTCTGAGCTCCGTGCTGCTGCTGCTGCTGCTGCTGTGGAGCATACCAACCAAAAAACAAGCCCCGGTACATGCCTCAGGTCCCAGTTGCATTCAGGTTCACATCGGGGGTGGATCTCACGGCTGGAGGACCAGGATCTGACCGCTGCTGCTGCTGCCGCTGCTTCGCTCTCTGCACCGGGTAAGTTCATCCACACTGCCCGCCCCGGAGGGGACCGTCCGCGGGGGGAGAGGAGAGGAGAGGAGAGGGGAGGAGAGGGGAGGGGAGGGATGCAGGATGGATGGAGGTCTTAACTTAAGTCAGGCTTCATTAATCTTAATGAAGCGAGTTAATAAAAATTTAAAAAACACCCTTGATGGGAGTTAGCGGTTAATTAGTTAGCTGCGGTAAGCTAGCTGCAAGGGTTACACTGAACCACACTGACGTCCGTGTAACATGTTGATTTTTATATTAATTTTAATTTATGGTGTGTTAACTGCACTTTCAGGTTCCTCTCTGTGTTATTTAGTGTCATTCTCGAAGGCGGGCTACGCAGGTTTATTAGCGCAGAGGCAGAATTAGCTTGATATTAGTCGACGGGACTTTAGCGCTAAGTTTTTCAGGAGACTCGTCAACACACAGTGGTCGTGTGTGATGTGTGTGAGCTCCATGTTGTGTGTGTTGTGTGTTTGTTGTTTTACTAGAAGATAAGGTTTGATTTGAGGTATTCACGACGTCGCTCCGCGGGATCTCCTGTGCGCGAGCCTACGCAGTATGCGCATTGTCACTGTGCAGAGGATGGAGAGAATAAAAAGCTGGTGTAACGTGAGGCTGCAACTTTTAATGATTCAACTCCAGTCGTGTTCTGAGATGGAGAGATAGAGAGAGAGAGAGAGCTGGAGAGATAGATGGATAGAGAGAGAGAGAGAGAGAAAGGGATGAATTGATGGATCACAGATAGATATAGATAGATGGATAGATGGAGAGATTGATGTATATAGAGAGAAAGACAGATAGATCAATAGAGAGACAGATGGATAGATAGAGAGATAGACATAGATAAAGATGGATGGATTAGGTAGATAGATATAGAGAGATTGATATATATAGAGAGAGAAATAGGTAGAGAGAGATTAATATATATAGAGAGATAGGTAGATAGAGAGAGAGAGAGAGAGATTGATATTTATAGATATAGAGAGAGAGAGATTGATATATATAGGTAGAGAGAGAGATTGATATATATAGGTAGAGAGAGAGATTGATATATATAGGTAGAGAGAGAGATTGATATATATAGGTAGG